CGCGCGCTTATGCCATCATGGCATATGTTAAAACTTTGGGCAAGGCTGGTGGCCAACACCGAGACTCCCGCTTATAAAGAAGCACTTCTTGAGTAAGGAGAGCGAGCCCCTCGAATCCCTTCTGTTACACCCGATCCCTCACTTACCCTCTCCGCCGGCTTCACTCTGCCACTTCGCCCGTTTCGTCATTATATTAATGCTCTCCTGAAAGCATACCAAATACCGAATCAGTAATCAGCAACATAAAAACAGCAAATTGACACACTCATCAGTATGAACAATTATTCATCCGTGCCGACATATGAACCCAATTCGCCGCTCATAGTGTAGTAGTTCTTCACAGCACTATCCAAGTCATGATAAGAGCATATCGGCTGTAACCGATGGTGACGATGAATCTCATCACCAATCTTGACACAGAGAGTTATGGCCAACATCAGCTAGTTGGTACGCGTGTTGGTAGAAAAGTAAAGCACGGGATGTTGGTCGGGGGGATGTTGAGTCTGGGACTTTAGCCGATTCAAAGTTATCAATCTCTCCGAATATCCTCTACTCTTGAGTTTGCATATGGATGATGAATCGTCTAAGCAAGGTGATCCTCCTACTTGCGGGTCTCAGACGCATCCCGACCAACACGTGCTCATCATCACATTGTATGGTAATAATAAAGTAACACCCAGAAATGAGGAGGAGGAGGTAACACTCAATCAACTGAAGACGGCAAGTGACGACGACACTCTATTGCTGAATGGAAAAGGAACGGAGGTAATCCTTTTGACGAACTAGAGGACCATGCGAGATAAATGAACTAGTCAACTACTACTCCGAAAAGAAGTATACCAGCAACAGCACCGATAGTGGTCGCGGATACTACTACACCTTTGGTCCTGGCATCAATGCCAAGTCCAGTAGGATCTCCCTCCCCTTGCATTTCGTTCAAGATTGCTAGGACGATGTCAACGACTAACATATCATAAGCATCAGCGTATAAACCAACACCGAGTTTAGAGATATGAGGAGTAATACTAGGTATAGATTTGTAGTGTGCTCACTACGGGAAAAACGAATTCAACTACAGAGAAGCCATAGTCTATACCGCAACTTCTATACAAGACAAATAAAAAACAACAGTAATTTCCGACTCAGACTTGGAGGCTGCTGGTGAATCATAATCACAGTCGCGATTCCTATCTGTAGCACACAATGTCGGGTGAAGGAGTCCCCTGCTATATTATATCTAGTGCATACTACACTGTGTAGTGGGCAAGTCACTAATAGATTG